AATCACACCTATCGTACATGCGAAATTCATTAATTTATGACGCTTAACTATGAATTTACCGATTTTACGAAATTTCAATATGAATAGTATGCACATATCAGATGAATGCCTGATTAATCAAAAAACTTCATGAAGAGTGAAATATCTTGATGCGATTCTCTGTTTATAATCCACTAACATGTATTATTAACCGCTACAGTAATATTAGTAATTGCTGTGTAGTTCACTGTATAGGCGATTATTATAGGAATATTAGGAGCATCATTTTCAAGCTATCCGTACTCTCAATTTGACCCAGCAACACCATAATTTCTTGTCACCATCAGATTCAACAGATTCTCAGCATTCAAAATATCATATATTTCATTGACGATTCTTACTTAGTTCAAGCGATATAACTGATATGTCAAACTACTTGAATCATTCTATAATACCGCCAAACTCTGCACATTTGATCTCTGTGACGTGATCAATGATACAGTTCCACAGGAATATCATGAGCACCATTTTCAAACTACTCGTATTCTCAAATTTGCTCAGCAACACTATAATTGCTTGTTGCCATCAGATTCAGCAGGTACCGTACCGAATAGTACCATAATCTAGTATAATTACGCTCTAAGCGCGAAAATTCAAAGTTGTTTTATTGCTTCAGTGTGCTGTGAAAGAATTCAGAGAAAGAAGTTTTCTTCTAAGGTAATCAAAGTAAATTTCTTGCCAATGACGAGAGGACACATTCAAAACTTGTTCAATCATATAGGAAATGAGAAAAAACACTTATGATGTATGATGTGATTTCTTATTCTCCGGTATGTCTGTTGGTATGTACACCGGGCAGTCAGGTTACTGATCAATAACCAAACGTCGTCATTGCCGCTAACATTATTTGCGCTATCATTAGCCATGTTATCAACACTGTTAGTATTATCATTGTTATAACCACTGCATACTATCACCACCTTGAAACTGTTTTGATCGTCATTTCTTCATTGTTCTCATTTCATAATTGTCATCATTATTAGTATTATTATCATTTTATCGGTAATATTGTGAGTATCATTTGATACAACAATTAATACCATCATTTTTCGCTACTATTGTCATCCTTATTATTATAATTGAATGTATCTTCCTCATTCACAGTATTATTATTATTATCATTATTATCATGAGTGTTGTTGCTATTATTATCTCGGCTATGATTTATTGCGATTATCGTGATTGTTTCAAAGTTATCCATATGCCCCTTTCCAGTTTCAACAGTCACATTTGATTCACTTCAATAATCAATCATTATCGTGTTTCTCTCCTCAGTTCGATGATTTCTTTAGTGATCACTTTTCATTATCATTCTTCAGCCATTCAGCAGATCACTTTCTCAGTTCTTGTTATTTGGCAAATTGATCGGAATCATAATACCCTCCAGTGGTTATGTTTTCGTGGTGCATATTTTCAGTTTAATTTACCGCTATAAACATGTTTTTGATGTTTAGATTCCTTCAATCGATTGAGACTGATTAAGAGAGAATTTCAATTATAAACAAATTTTTTGCAGATTTTGAACGGAATTGTCAATTGAGGTCAGTCAGCTTTCATATTGTTCAACAAATCGTTCAGTTGCGAATAATCTGAAAATTTCATCAGTTATGAAAACTCCTTGTTCATTTTCTCTNCCCCCCCCCCCCCGATTAACTCCATCCGCATGAAACGACCTAATTATCTGTAAACTATTTTAGGTTATTTTCTGAAGCTAATGAATGAGGATACATTTTGATATATCGTTTTGATATATTTGTAGAAGTGTTTTCTGTTTACTGGTCATAGTGAGTGATGTCTAACAATAATGATTGATCGATTTTCAGTAAGCGCTCGATGATTTTAATTTTTGTGAAAAAATTATTTTTTCAAAAAAAATTAAAACTGATGAAATTTCATCAGAATTTGTTATGCGCATGTCACGAGAGTATGTTTATATATACATTATTTCACTTCCACGAAATTGATAGATTGAATCAGTATCTCAAAATCATCAGAAAACAACGCGAAGTACACGGTTGCTATTGTCCTCTTATCTGTCTTATTCAAGGCAAAATGACATTTTCGAATAATTCCGTCGGTAGAAACTCTTCGAATTCATATGGAATCCTGGAATGCGTCGTTCGCTTACAACGATTCCATCGAACGCTTTCATTATTTAAACGGTTTCAGAGAACTTTACAAAACTTTAACAATTTTCAGTGATTTTATTTTATATCAATGACAGAAGCAATTAATAATAACATTAGCAGTATCAATAATGCTAATGACACCACCAACAACGATGATAATAACAATGATGCTGATAACAACGCCACTAGTAATGATGAGAACAAACCATCTGCCATCAAGTTTGACTTAGATCAATGTGCTAGCAANTAGATTAGTTGAGATTTTGGTCCGAATTTTCAAGTTCACAAGCACTTATTCTTCTTTTTATAATCATTTGTTTTTTTTAAATTCAATAATATTCTCATTTTGACTATTCCAGGTAATGTTTTCAGTTCCAAGTGATAATCAGTTGGACGCACTACCGGAAAGTTACAAGTGAATTTTGAGTATTCCTATTATACTCCATCACTTTTTTCTCATAATTTTTCTACGCTATCATAGTTGTTCAGATTCATATCGCATTGCATATTACTTACTATTAGTCAAACTTTATTATTTTTCATGATTCATCGCATTCACTTCTAAATAGTGCTAGTTGATAATTAATGCTTCATTTTTAATTGTTTCGTTGGAAATTCTGTTATATAATGGAAAGTTTCCGTTGTGACAAACTCAAAATTTTTTTGAATTGAAAAATCGTGCACTGGTATAAGATATCATGGGAATATAGAATATGTTCACTTCAATATTCCATTAGTGTTTCTTGTTTATTACCAGAAATTAATTTTTGTTCTGCAATTAGCGAATTTCTCGTTGAGAGAATTTCCCTTGTTTTTTTGCACATTCATTCATCGATTAATTTTGGCTGAAAAAATGTTATTGATGACAGTATCAATGATGATGACGAACTGTGAACATTTTGAGCACAGAATCCATTTCGATGACTTACGAAAGTTGCTAGTGAGAACATGGAAGTAATTAACTGTTCGTCATTTATCGAAATTCGAACAAAATTTGAAACATGTTTTGGTTTCAATGATCAGTTCCAATCGGAATGATTATTTTACAAATCAACTGGAGTGTTATGAATCTGAAGGAGATCAAACGATAGATCAGCTGATTTGTTCATGACAATTTTTTCAAAACTGGCAATCCAGTCCTGTTGAGTAAAAGAAACATCAAAATTGTTCTGAACTTAACCATAAATTTAGTTCAGAACGCAGTGCTTTTGCACACACGTATCGATTTTCACTAATGAACAACATTCACTGTAATGCAGCTGAACAGAAACTCAAAAAATATGAGATAACGATGAATACAGGTAGCTGGAAAGGAATATTCTATGAATGAGTTTGATTCATCATTTGTTCTCACGCTCACAAAGTCACAGTATTCGTTTCGATTTGCAGTGATCCTCAGCAAATCACACTGGAACGTCCACCAACAATAGACAATTATCGTTTAACGATACAAAATCTTCGCAATGCAGGTCATTCAATTCGACCATCCATGATCGAACTGATGCATGGCGCTCGTCAGGCTGCAACTCTCGCTCAGAAGGTTCTCTTTGAGCCTTTACCTGTGCCAACTGCTACTGCTACATTCTAGTGATCAAACGTTCATTATTGATGATCATTGAACTACGATCACATCACAAACTCTTGCAGGTTGATAAGGCAGATGGATAAATGGAATTAGTTTCGTTGGAATGAACTGAACTCCTTGCTTAAAAGATGATTGACCAACCAAAATTCATTGCTTTACCAAAATTTCAGTACTTCATTAAGAATAACCAAAAGTGATATAATTTGGTCGTAGGGATTCTTTAAACAAGCTCATCACTTCAATCAGACGCAAATGAATTCAGTACGAGTATTTTCAAGTTAAATCATTCATGTTTAAGGATCTAGGATTACGCAGATCGCACAGTCAACTATCTGGCTGTCGTGCAGCTGATTACTCTTATGATATATTCAAGCCGCAGTCTATTCCGAGACCCAAAAAAATCGACTTCTTCCAGGTGCGTGCGGGAATTGATTCCGGTTGAATCCACAAAATTTTATTTTTCATTTTTGATGGCATTCATTCATCTCGAGCAAATTTTAAAGTATAAACAAATGAAAATACGCCTCAGATGGATATTACTAATAAACATTTGTGATTTACGAAAACGATGAAACGTTCAGCTGTCGAGTAGTATTTATGATAAAAACATAATATATCACTGAATGAAATGCTCTACTTCAGGGTGTATTCATCCCAGTGTTCACGAATATTGTTGGAGCGCTTTTGTATCTTCGGAATGGTTGGGTTGCTGGACAAGCTGGTATTAGTAAGTGTTCTCTCGTGATGACAGTTTTCGCAATCTATCGAGAAATTTATTTATTATTCACCATCAAAACACTGATTCAATGAAAAGATTACATCGGGCTTCTAGTTTATATTGGATTTCAATCGGTGGATTTTGATTGCTGATAATGTCGAATGAATCAGTTTGTTAAACACAATTTTATGGCAATTAAATGAATCAAGAACGTTACAACGTAGCGAAATTTGGTCCTGAAATGTTCGAAAATCTAACTTCAAGAAGTTTTTGCTGTATTCATTGACAGTTGCCGGTCTTGCGGTTGTTCTACTATCAACATTGGTATGCGTTGTGACGGCTATATCAATATGTGGAATTTCATCGAATGGAATCACCAAAAAAGGTGGATTGTACTATCTGGTTTCAAGGTTAGTTCATTGACGCTTGATTGTTTTTCAATTCTATCTCAAACTCGAGAATTTTCACCTTGACGTATTGATAATGTTCGTTTGCTCTCTTAAAGATCGTTTTCCAAAATCGAGAATCTCTTCACGGCTTTTAAGGTCTTTGGGACCGGAATTCGGTGGTTCGATTGGTGCGATTTTTGCGCTTGCAAACGCTATGATGGCATCGTTGTATATAGTGTCCGTAGCGGAGACTATATCTGATTTGATGGTGGAGCATGAATACGGTTTTGTGACGGACAATAGGATCAACGACATTCGAGCAATTGGAATTGGTCTGTTTCAGTCTTTTGAGTGTCGGTTGAATCAATTTACAGTGGATTGATAAATTGACAGTGATCAATTCCAACTTGAAATCTGTGAAGATTATTGAAAAATANAAAAAAAATCATCAGCTGGCAACAATATCGTTGATTTATTGTTGCTGATAGATGATAAAATGATAATAGTTTCAGTGATATGTGTTATATTAATGCTGATCACGTTTGCTGGTCCGGATATAGAGCAAAGCTTCACACTGTTCATGTTCTCGTTGTATTACTTGTCGTTTTTTAATTGGTGTCTCGGCTCGTTGATTCCACCAAACGAAGAGCAACAATTACGTGGCATGACTGGATATAGTTGTTGGTATTTTACAGCATTTATTTACTGCCTTCATTATGAGTAAATTCGTTATTATCACAGTCAATATGACTATCGTTATTTCAATTCATACTGTTATTCAATGTAGTAATGAATAGCATTGTTTCGATTGTTTATTGCTATTGAATCATTCTCATATACCTTTTTTCATGAACACGATCGTTTTCATATCGAAAACATTGCAGTGGCGACAATATCACAGAATCTGTTACCTGCTTGGCGAGGCGAGAATTTCATTTCAGTGTTTGCTGTCTTCTTTCCTGGTATGACAGGACTGATGGCTGGATCGATGTTCATCAATGATCTTAGAGTTCGTTTTTTTCCTCTTGCCGACAATGTCAAATGATCTTGTTTTCCAAAATTGTCTAGTTGAATCGAAAAATGCATGACATCTCTTTGACACTGAACAATAGAATTGTCAACAGTTTTGCTATGCTTCACAAAATGTTTCCTTTTGAGAATTGTTTCCTCGAAAAGTGTTCATTGAATCGATTGAAACTCAAATTCTTATAGGATCCAGCGCGTGACGTACCATTGGGAATGTTCACATCGATAGCGGTTTGCTCGTTGTTCAATCTGATCGCCGTTTTCATATCCGGTGCCACAATGCTTCGCGATGTTTCGGGTGCATCCATACCAATCTACAACGATTCCACACATCAATGGGATGCATTCCCATGTGCAGCTAATTTCACATGCAAATATGGCCTGATGAATTATTTTCAAGTAATTTTCATTTGTTCTTTATTCATTGCTCTTTCTTTCACTCACTCAGTGCCTCATTTCGTTCATTGTTTTGGTTTCTTGATTAAAATGATTACTATTGAAATTTCTCTTTCGTTGTTTATTCATTCTCGAGCAGTTATTTCATTTCATTTGTGTGTATTTTGGTTGTGTCAAAGTCTTGAGTTAACGAAAGATTTCTTCTGTGGTAAAATATCGTGAGCTTTGGATGCACGAATTCATCTGTCATATCGAGAGGAACCCTCATATTCCTTGGAACAATTTAGATCGCTGAACTCGAAGCCGCATGGGGACCATTAATAATTGCCGGAATTTTTGCAATGTCACTGAGTTCAACGATGACAAATCTGGATAATGGCCCGCAAATCTTTCAGGTTTGGGATGGAATTATTCGACTGAAATATTAGATATTATTTTCAGATCAACTGAAGTCGCTATTCACTTATTTTTAGACTTTAACATCTCTTTTTTAATGACTTCTTTTCGTGGAAACGACGTTGTTACATTTCATTGAGTTCAAAGAGTTTTAGCGAATGTAAATTTGATCGCTTAGTGCTGATTAAATGATAGTTTTGATGGGAAGTGACAATTTTCGGTACTGTAGCAGTGTTAACGGTAAAAAATGCAGAAGGAAAAAATCTCATCAGTTACCTAGAAATTTGTTGTTTTAGGCCATATGTAAAGATCAACTATTTCCATTCGTCAAATATTTCTCGAAAGAATACGATTTGAATATTCCTCAGCGAGCGTACATTTTCTTTGCTGTCATCACAATGGCGATCATTTTAATTGGTTCGTTTCGAAAGGTTTCGTTTTTCGAAATTTCTCTATAGGTATCAGTTGAATGATTGTTGATTTAAGTTTGCTGGAATGAAAGTTTGAAATATTTTCATTTGAATTTATCAATAATTGGACAATTTTGAAAGTAATTCACAGGAGTGTTCTATGTTTGTTTTGTGCTTTCATTTGGATTGGATGATTTAGGCGATTTGAATATCATCAATGGACTGGTATCGAATTTATTTTTGGCCGTTTATGCATCTGTCAATTACGCTTGCTTTGATGCGTCCTTTGCCAAATCGCCTGGTGAGTGCTGGGGCATTTCTGCGGTTTATTTTAGTATCGCATTCATTTGAATCAAAATTTCGGAAATAGGTGATATATTTGGCAAATTTCTTTGGCGTACGGAATTATTCAACGTATACAGTTATGTGCTATATATAAAATTAAGGAAATACAAAAAAGAATCATTTTACTTTCATGGAACGTCAGACAATAATTATTGAAATATAAAAGATGTTTTCTTCAAGGATTTCGGCCGTCATTTCGTTTCTACAATATGTGGTTATCACTGGCCAGTTCAGTGCTCTGTATAATTGTAATGTTTATCATATCGTGGATCTCAGCTCTAATCATTTTCGCATTTTTCTTCATTGTCTTCGTTTATATGAATCATCGACACGTTGGTGAGCGTTTTTTTTTTACTTTTGCCCTCTCATCCACCAAATTTCAGTTTCATGTATTCACTGTCATTGAATGATCACGCAATTGACCATATTCTAATACTTTACGCAGTTGAGTTAATTAATTGCTCTATTGCGGAATATGATGTAACTAAGCAGACTATGGGTTATTTTACTCGCATCATTTCTCTAAGCCTAATTTTGGAAGCAATTCCTCTCAATGATATGCAAATTTTCAACAAAGCCTCAGATCCGGACTTGATCCTCATATCCTCAGATCTTGACAAAATCACGATCTTCTTCTGATGTAATAGAGTGTAGCTTCGGCATAATACTTGAAAGCCTTCACGTTCGAAGCATTTGTCGTTTCTGTCAGATCAATTTTATTGAAAGAAAGAGTTTCTGTGGATCACTAAGATTTATCGTTTCAAGAAGTGAATTGGGGCTCTTCAATGCAAGCGAACACTTATCGTGTCGCGTTAACAAGCCTTCTGAAGCTGGCCAATATCGAAGAACACGTCAAAAACTATCGACCTCAGATTTTGTTGATGACCGGAAATCCAGCAGCTCGTTCGATGTTACTCGACTTTGCCTATAGCATCACTAAAGACACCAGTCTACTGATTGCAGCACACGTTGTACCTGTAAGCTTTTGCATCGCAGTTTTTGCAGCTCTTCGCCTGCGCTTTATCATTTTCGAATGCATTTCCTGAAAATTTCTGCGTTTTCTCGCTTGAAAATAACTTTTGAACTCGTATTTT